TTTTTTTTTTTTTTGCAAGATTCTGAAAATTTTTTCTATAATGGTTTATTTGAATAGTTAATACATGCATGTGCTACAAAATTCAAAAGGTATACTGTTACTAAGTCTCCCTTAGTCCTCCAGAGGTTCCCTTTTCTGAAGAAACCACTTTTTCTAGTTTCTTACTCTTTTAAAGAATGGTTTAAGTAATACAGTGTTACTTTACGTGTATCTTACTCCATTTCTACCCATTGACATTCCTTGGACTTGATAATTCTGGGTAGAGTTGTGACTAGTATATATACTGTGTGTATATATATATATATATATGTTGGCCATTTATTTGGCTTTTGATGACCTATATCAGAAAAGATAATTTCCAGATTCCAGAACTATAAAGCATGATGTGTGAGGACTATGTGAAGGTCTAGCAGAGCTCCAAGATGATCTTTTCCAGCTCAGAGTAGAAAAGGAAATAGCTCTTATTACCATCCACTGATCTGAATTGACTGGCGAGAAATATGGTCAGTAGCAGTACATTTAGTTGGCCATTTCTATTTGGAATTTGTAGACAGAAGTGAAGGTCAGGACTTTTTGTTTGTCAGGAGGTTCATGTTGCCACACTAAAGGCTTGGGAATCTTCTCAGTGATTAAGATATGGGAAAGAACTGATTTATATCAGGGAGCAAGCTGTGGTAAGCCAACTTATGGCTATTTCTCCTGCATTTTCTAGATAAGAAGTGGATAAACAGATACATAAGGTCTCAAGTAATTGAGACTTTATTGAGTAACTTGCATATTCTGCATTTTATTTATTTATTTTTAGAGACAGAGTTTTACTATGTTGTCCTCTGTAGAGTGCTAGGGTATCACAGCTCATAGCAACCTCAAGCTCTTGAGCTTAAGCAATTCTCTTGCTTCAGCCTCCCAAGTAGCTGGGACTACAGGCACTCACCACAACGCCTGGCTATTTTTTTGTTGTAGTTGTTATTGTTGTTTGGTAGGCCAGGGCTGGGTTTGAACCTGCCTGCCCCTGTGTATGTGGCTGGTGCCCTAGCTGCTGAGCTACGGGAGCCAAGCCCATATTCTACATTGTAGAAGATGCAGTAGTAGTCTAGGTTCTTAATCTTAGTGAGATTATAATCTAATTAGGTGGACAAAACAAACACAATGCATAAAATAATAGTGCATCATACAGTACTAACGCATGAAAGTCACAGGAATTCAGACAGGAGGGAAGCCAATATATCCAGTTGGTATTGTCAGGAGATTTTCCTGTGTGAAGTGAAACTTGAGTGGAGACTTGCAGAATGGAAAGGATTTGGACAGGAAGAGCAGAGGAAGGCATGCCTTGCATGTGTCTTACCTTTTTTTTTTTTTTTTTTTCTTGGCCGGAGCTGGGTTTGAACTCACCACCTCCGGCATATGGAGCCAGCGCCCTATTCCTTTGAGCCCCAGGCACCACCCCCGTGTCTTACCTTCTTTACAGAGAACTTAAATCCAGTTTTTATGGAAAATGTGATACATGCACATGATGAATTCAAATTGTACAAGGACAAATGTGACTCTCCTACACATTCCAAAGTCAGTCACTACTTATCTTTTCATAAATATTTTATTCATTAATACAAATTTTTTTTTTTCAGTTTTTGGCCGGGGCTGGGTATGAACCTGCCACCTCTGACATATGGCAGCCATTGAACCACAGGCACTGCCCCATTAATATAAATTTTTATATATATATATATATATATTTCTTTTTTTTCCTTTTTTTTTTTTTTT